GGCAAGCTAGACTCAACAATTCTCCGGGGAATACCTGGATTCCAGAAAGAAAGAAGGCTAAGTTGGTTGTAGACTTGGGTTCTCTTCGACGAATCCTTGCCGTAGACGCACATGGTAATAGAAATGCAAGCAATCCTAGGTATCCAACTAACTTCGAATTTTCGCATGACTCTTCAAGTCAGGGCTGGACATTATTTGTGAAGGTAGTTGGTCATTTGAAATCCATTTTTAACTCTTTCTCTCCCAATATCTCATTAGTAATTCTCCCTACTCTCTGTCCAAAAAATTTACAATGCTTGTTCTGCGAATTTCATTTTTAATGAACTGATAATCCCGTAATTGGCAATTGTTTTGAATGTCATCACTTGTCAGCTTAATATTTAACAATTATTCGACAATATTCACCGAACCTGAGGCGAATAATTGTTTTAGTATAATTTCAGAGCTGAACAACAGAGAAATTTCTAAAATCATAACATTTTAGTAACAGTTATCAGCATTTTATTTTAACATTTTATATAAACCGCGTGGAGCGGTTTATATAGCGTCATATAAGGAACCGCTCGACCAATCAGATTGTTGGAAACTCTTTGCTTAGCTCTGAAATTATACTAATGTATTGATAATGAAGGGAGGAATCCTGTCTTGGTCACTCATTGCAGTCTAAGGGTAAACATCTCCATCCTTAGCCACCCTTGTGATACCTTACAGCACTGATGCCTAATTCCACTCTCCTTTTGACGAGTGTGGTATCTTGCATGCAGTCTCCTTTCCGTTTAGGGAAGTTTTGGACGTTGCAAAAAGTGACCCAGTACATCGTGAGGTGGATCCTTTGCATTTTAGAGCATCACACTGATTTATGGTAGTAAAACCCGTATGCAAGAACTCCTATAGCAAACCAGATTTCAAACAAAGCTTTTGACGATGTTAATGCAAGCAGTATGCTGGATGCGTGTCACGGGTGAAGATAGTATTGACCTAACTAACCGCAAAGTTTTCTGTAGCTCAATGGCCGTGCATGAAAGCACAGAATCCAAAGGTCTGGGGTTCCAATTCTCATGGAATCTCAGAAATCCTTTTTTCGTCTCACGCTCTTGACAAGACTAAAAACATTTTCCTTTTAACCAGATCCGTTAAAATATCTCACCCTTTATTTGCAGGACCTCACCTTGGACGATGAATCTTCAATCAAGCGTTTTATCTTTTTGCCATCGGTTGTAACACGAAAGCTTCTGGTTCACACCAAGGATTGCCACGTCGAATGTGCGTTTGCTATGGAAATTTATGGATGTTCGGCGGGTGAGTCTGAAAGATGTTTGCCTATAAGTGGCATTTTTTAATAAACGAACCTCCTCTACATTTAAAATCAGTGTTAGGATTACTTTGGAGTTTTAGGTTGGTAAAAGTCTTTGTAGAGATTCTGTGGGATATGAAAACTGCTTGGGAGAGGGATTGGAGGAGTAAAGTGTGTGTGTGTGTGGGGGGAGGAGGGGGGTTTTCTTGTATTTGGTTGTTGCTCTTTCAACCACGTTAAAACGAACAGCATTTCATGGCTAACTGAAGTATTTATAAGTGAGTAAAACTTACAACCAATAACAGAGTGACATCAATTTTAGGGACACCATTAACACCAAGTAGAGTATTTCTCAAATAGAACTGTTTCCTCATTTTCATCAATAGAGAATTCAAATGCAAATATTAACCAACGTGTTTCTTAGGCTAAGGACCAAAGTTTGTGTCAACCTTCTGAAAAAATGTTATCAGCGTGCAAGTTTATCTCGTCTTTGGCAATAGCCTCGCACTTCCATCTCGAATGAATTTGACACTGAGAATTTCATGATATGGAGCTGGGAAAGAGCCCCTGGGATTTTTTTTCGTGGCATTTTCAGTCATGTAAATCCCTTTGATACGAAAGCCGAAAAGGGACAATCCAAAAATATTTTTCTAATCCCGAAAAATAATTCAAATCGCAATAAAGTATTTTGAAATCAAAAAAAAATTTTGTGTTAAATGGGAACACTAAGAACTGTAGTACGATCGAATCAGCGCGTGTGGCGCAAGCTGAAAGCAATCAAGACAACTTAACGATCGAGACGGTGAAAAAAATAGCTGTACATCTACAATGGCGAACGATTAAAAAAAGACGCAATCCCTGATGTGCGTACTCATTTTAAACAAACTGAGACATTTCAGTATACACACTATATTTCCTGTCACCCACAAGGAATTAAAAGAGACTTCATAAAAGGGGAGACCCTTAGACTTCTAAGAACAAACTCCTCTCAAACAATATTTGAGGAGAAAATTACAAATGAAGCGCATTTGCTAAAGAGAGGCTACCGAGAGGACCTCATTAGCACAACCCTCTCAGAAGTGAATTAAAAAACAGGAAATTAGCTCTTCAACAGAAACAAAAGACGAACCAACGAATCTTGCCTTTTGTGTTACACAATACCAACCATCAGTGCCAAACCTAAAGCAAATTCTCATGAGACACTGG